CTCAAGGAGCAACAGAAAATTCAAATTTGCTACAAATTTCATCGTTAGAATATGACAAACTGCTTAAATTTTTAATGACGCATTTCTTGCAATACTTTTTCAATGTTAACAGAGCGCATCATTGCAAATAATTTCAAACATTTAGTTTTAGGAATACCTATCAGTAGATTATTTTATAGTCATAAACTAAATCAACATGCTTGTTTAAATGAAATATGAGACTTTGAAATTGCGAGATTCTTTGTAATCAAATATTTAAATAACCTCTATATGATTCGTTTCAATACCTCTTGTTTGCTTTTCTAGCATTTCTGAAATTTTGGTATCAATCTTATACCATTTGAATAAGACTTAAGTTCCTCAGGTATCTGTTCGCATTCCAAGCAGTTCCTCATATTTGCATTTATACTTTCACGTTATGTGGAAACCACAATTTATTGCATATATTTTGTTTATTTCCTGCATTGGCAACTTTATTTAATGTGTGATTGTAAAGATTGAAGTTGGCAAGAAATGAATAGATTCACGTCAACTTTCCCAGACGCTCCCACATGGAGAAATGTGGCTCAACCTAAAACTTGGAAGGCTATCAATCAATGGCATCAAAATGGTTTCATGTCTAATTACACCATGTGAATCGTACATATAAAGAATGGACAGTTTACGACGCATCAACAAATTGACAATCCTTTTGACTTCAAATAGCATTTGGCTCTAATAGGTAAATAAAGTCTCGTGCAATTATAATAGAGAAGTTACAAATTTAGAGGACCACATTTGGGGCAATAATTTTGCAAATTAAATCCAAAAGGACGGCTGCAAGTTATTTTGAACCGTTGCGGTTAGTTTTACTTTCGCATAAATAGAAAATACTTCTAATAATGTTAAAATAATTGCATTTTGTATAATTAAATTTTTAACTTTACTGAATCGCCTGCTCTTCATTCAGTTTCATAATTTAAATAATGTACAATGATCAAATAAATTATCCCACGTGAAAGCAAGTTTGCAAACTTGTTTCCATGTAAACAAGCGTATTTCACGAAATTAATGTTGTACCCAAATCGTACAAGTGCATTAAAAAATGAACAGTTTCTTATCGATTTATAATTAATGCATTTTTGCGTAATAGATGGATTCAATAAAAATTTCATTTATAAAGCGATAAACGTGAAATTCTAAACGATAATTAGTCCGTCCACAATTTCTACCCCAATTGATTCATCAATTCTACAGGCGAAGTATTTCTACATGTAAATTTCTGATTTTCAAATCTCGATATTTTAACTTTTTGATACTTCTACCTTCTTAATGGACAACCTTGACTCGTTTGCTTACTTCTTAAAGTTATCAATGTCAGATATTTCAATGACTAAATATTTCTTCCTTGAAAAACAATATTAAGGTAAAAAGCTTTTTTCCCCATATATTGTGGAGCAGTATTCATAATACAATGAAAAAAAGGAATAAATAACAAAAAATTCAACCCTTTAAAGCCAAACCATTTAATATAATTTGCGTATTTCACGAAATTATTGTTGTACCCTAATCGTACAAGTGCATTAAAAACCGAGCAGTTCCTTATCGATTAATAATTAATGCACGTTTGAGAAACAAATTTACTCAATGAAAATTTCATTTAAAAATTAAAAACTTGAAATTCTAAATGAGAATTACTCCGTCCACAATTTCTACCTTAATTGATTTATTAATTTTACAGATATTTCAATGACTAAATATTTCTTCCTTGAAAAGCAATTTCAAGATATAAAGCTTTTCGTCCGAAATAATGTGGAGCAGTATTCATAATACAAAGGAAAGAATGAATAAAACACAATATATTCAATCCTCACTAATGCTTTAAAGCAAAGCTATTTAACAAATGTAAAAAAAACACAAATTTATCAGTAGACAAATGTAGTTTGGGTTGAAAATTTGACAAGTGGCAACGCTTACCAATTGTGCACCTCGAGTTATTTAGATAAATCTTTAAGGATTTTAATGACCTCTTTTCCTTGTCAATTATACGTAGAGAATTGGAATTAACCTTGCCAGGATTGCCATCAGAAATTTTAAAGACTAGTGAATCGATACTCTGTAATGATAATAAATATGGAAATTCAAGTTTAAATTAACAGGGAAAATTTATAATAATAATAATATCATATAGCTGAAATCAAAACCGAAATGAATTGTTTTGAAGCTCCAAACGCGCTCGCTGTACCCTGAGACAATTAATGTCAACTATCCTGCAGATCAATTTCTCGAAATCTTCAATGATGGGCCATACGATGAAAACCAAGCCAAACGTTTTGAAGATGTTTTTTCTCAACACTTCTCTTGCAACGCAGCTGCATGACACAATAAATCTGCCTTCGAAATGGAAATAGAGGCCATGCGACAATTAAATCTATGATGTTGTCTGAATACGAAATTCACTAAATAGGTAATACTTTCGGACTCACAGTCAGCAATAATATAAGTGGAAGAAATGAACCACCCAAAACAGCCGAGATATACGAATGCAAAAACCATATCAGTAGCTGAGAGTAAAACACAAAACATTTGTCGTGGAATGGATACCTGATCACTGTGGCATTAAAGGCAATGAGATTGCTGACGCATTTGCAAAGAAGGGGACAACAATTATGCAATCCATAGACTGGCCGATGACTTTCCGCACAATGAAGAACTTAATCAGGAGAGAATTTCATACCTCAATGTGCAACGAACTTAAAGCTCGAACAAATGAGAAACGGTGTACGGTGGCACACTCCGACATAGCCAATTTTCCAAGAATAGAAGCCGTTGCTGAGTTTAGACTACGTACCGCACAAGATGACATGTCAAAGTACCTTCATAGATTAGGAGAAAGCACTCAATCAACGTGCATCCTGCGCAAACTACAAGAGGAAATTGGGATGACCCACTTAATTTCGTGTCCAGCTAAAAAGATAAAGACGAAAACGGCGAGATACTGGGAAGAGAGAAGGCAAGTAATGTACTACTATAAAAGAACTTTTTACAAATTGGAAAAGCTGAAATCAACTATGAGGACAATGATAAATATCATAAAGCCTGCCATTTGAAATTAAAATTATATATTTTTTATCTTTGTTGTTTTTTTGTTTTTATGTTGTTACAAAAGCGGATTTAACAACGAAGGACATTCTGAAGCATATATAAAATGCACTACCACTACTTATTCATTTAAGTATAAATGAACATTTATTTATTTATTTCAAGATCATTTCAAAGTCTGGCATTACATGATATTTGTGATAGAGATGGCCATTGACGTCTTCTAAAAATTAAATTAGAATTAATTTCCACGAAATAATTTCTCACAATTTCCAATAATGGTCTATTTTTCAGTAAAGTAACCTTAGATATTTTCCACATATTTTGACCAATTATGAACAACTAGCAATTTAATCCGAACGTGCCTTGAATTGTATCTTGTTTAATAATGTTGTTAACGAACAGTTTAATCATATCTCGCCTCACAAAATTCTCAAATCCTAACTTCTCTATAAATGATTTCTCAAGAAGGATTGCTTTCCAGTAAGGAAATACTGGTATATCGACAACGTATCTGATATTACCATATTACCTTTATTCAAATTTAGCACTATTCGTGACTGTAATTTTCACATCTTGGTAGAAATGGAGATCTGGGTAAAAACGTTTTGCTACAAATTTTAGCAGCCAATTTGAGATACGGCTGCATGCATGAGAATTTAACTGTTGCATCCAAATCCAATCTTTTACCAACAGGCCCTTCACAGGGAGTTGTCACAACTTGCACTCTTTCAATATCTTCATCAATGGCAGCCAAACTGGTTGAGAGTGTCACAGACATCAGGGGCTTTCTTTATGCAGATGGTCTTGTTCTATTGTATTCCGCCCCTAAGAACAACTCTCAAAAGAAGATGGAAAGTGTTCTAAATTATGCACTTAAGCTAATAGCCAACGGGAGCAAAAACAACAGAATGGTTATCAACATCGCAAAAAATGTATACCAAACGTTTTCTTTGGCCTGTCACAGCATAAATCTGTTTCTAAAGTGCAAGGATACTACCATAGAAAACCAACGAGTTCATCTATCTCGGACTTACGTTTGACACAACTCAAACATGGTAAAGTCACATTGCTAAAATAGCAGAACGAATCTCAAATCAACCGAATTCACTGAAGCGTCTTACTAATAGTGTATGGGACTGTGCATGCTCAACAAGCCTTTATGTATTTATTTCATTTATTAATTTAAATCAAATAGCAGGCGCCTTGATGGTTATCATTAGCCCTTTAGTTGACTTCAGACTTCACAGAGTGGAAGGAACATCAAATTGAAAAATGTCGAGTGTGGGAGGGGGGACAGAATTGTGTTTCAAAAATGAGTTGCCACTTCAGAAAAGCAAACACTTCTTCAGAACGAATGCGCCCACTGGTCGATTGGGGCAATCAATGTGAACTTTTATGCAGATCAAGGGCTCGAAGTCTTCACTGTTGAGGTTTACATAAGATACCAAGCAAACCTAAGTGCAAATGCTTCCTCTCAACTATTCAGCTGAAATATACAAATGCAATGTCTTTATAAGTTGCTGAGAGTAAAAACAAAACAGTGATCCTACAATGGATTCCTGGTCACTGTGGCATTAATGGCAATTTGCTTGCTGACGCACTTGCTCGTAAGGGGACAGCAATTAAGCTAAGCATAGGCTGGTCGATGTTTCCCACAACATGAAGAACTTAATCAAGGAGACTCCAAGGTCCAACAAACCTAAAGCTCGAACAAATGTGAAATAGTAGCCAGTGGCACTCTCTGACATAAAAAACTGGCCAACAATCGAAGCCGTTGCTGAGTTTAGACTACGTACCGCACAAGATGGCCTGTTGAAGCACCTACTTAGATTAAGGGTAAACACTGAACCAACATGTTTCCTATGTAACCTACAGGAGGAAATTGAGAAGACCCACCTGATTCGATGTCCAGCTATAAAGATAATGCGAAAAACAGATGTACTATGAAGCCGGATGACACCTTATGAACTGCTTTATATGTACCTTCTTACTCATGGAGAAAGCTGAAATCAACTATGAGGCCAATGATAAATATCATAAAGCCTGCCATTTGAAATGTAATTATTTTTTTTCGTTTTATTATTGTGCTTTTAATTTTTTTATGTTATTACAATAGCGGATTCAACAACAAATTTTAAATGCATTTCTTATTCAATTACGCATAAATGAATATAAAATAATTAAAAATATAACCAATTTTTCTTCTTTATTTCAAATAGCTAAATTTTGAACCGTTGCTTGGGTGTTTGAAGATCAGTTTAACTGTTAAAATAAGCTAACGATTTTTGGCAAATATTGACAAAATCAAGTATTATATTATACTTCAAGACAGGATTTTGGGAGCCTAATTATTGGTAGCAATGTTTTTTTAACGTTCCCAATCTTTTTAGTTTCCGGAGTGCAGCCGTGTAAACACTCAATATAGTTTTGTCATTACGAATGCTTAAAAAGTTTTCGCCTGAGGCAGTTTGCATGTGATTTTCATTTCAATGACCACATGAGATGTGTGACAACTGTAGTAGAGAATTACCATTTCTTATTTTAAGGGCATTATCTTGAATAATAAATTATTCCATTTAACACGAGTCATTAAAACCAAGCTTGCAAATAATCCTTCGCGCACATATAAGAACTTTTGCTCAATCCTTAAAAATGTTCAAAATAAGTAGGGACATTTAATTAAATTAAGATGCTGAATGTGTTGATTTATTCATTCCACAAAATGGATGGTTGAAATGAAATTGCAGTTACAATCATATCAAATGTACAGTTGCCTTCACTAGGTCAATCCAAATGAATCCTGTATATCTTATCTTAACGATTTGTGCACTTCGAAAATGCGAATTTGTAAGCCTATCAAAGTCCAACTGATCAGGATTTGCAAATTGTAAATTCAAACTAAGCTGCATCGGAAAGTTGTTAAAAGTTATGTTCTTCCACGTCAATGCCTCGTATAAATTCTAAACCAAACAACTTATTACTTAACAAGTTAAGTAAATCCGATTTTAACAAGGATAATTGTACATAAAGAGAATGCGTTTAATTTATGAAGTTTCTGACCAATAAGAAAGTTATAAACCGCTTAGTCAATTCAACATGAATTAGCATCAATGTGATCAATGAATTAGAATCACAATCAATGGTAATGTCTAAATTTTGTTCAAGTTTGCAATTCCAACGAATCATCTTTTGTCGGGTCTCATTATATTATGCAGCCGTTAAATCTCATTTTATCTAGATGTGAAAATTACGGTCACGAGTAGTACTAAATTTGAATAAAGTGATATCGTAATATCAGATGAGTTGTCGAAATGCTAGCATTTTCTTATTGCAAATCAATTCATCTTTGAAATAATCGTTTATGCAAAAAATCAGGATTTGAGAATTTTGTGAGGCGAGATATGATTAAACTGTGCGTAAACAGCATTTTTAAATGAGATACAATACAGGACGCAATCAGAATAAATTCCTAATTGTTCATATTTGTCCATAATTTCAAGGGCTACTTTACTGAAAAATGGGCCATTATTGGCAATTGTGAGAAGTTGTTTTGTGGATACTTATTTATATTTACTTATTCGTAAATTCCAATTTGAAAAAATGTACGTTAACTGTTAATTCAACAATATATTTCTGCAACAGGAATCAAAGACAAAGTTCGCAAAAATACGCTATTCTAATTTGAATTTATGGAACGCTCTCTATAAATAACGCCTTCACTGTTCAGAGTTGAAATGGAAACAACATTCACGCTTTCACAATATGCATGATGCATTTCGACATTAGAAATGCTTTCCATGAAGTATTTATTTATTTATTTTAAATGGCAGGCTTTATCATATTTATCATTAGCCCTTAATCTTTGACTTCAGCTTCCCCCAGGGGTCTGCCTCATCATTTATTTCAAATGGCAGGCTTTATGATATCTATCATATTAGCCCTTAATCAAGGGATCATTAGCCCTTAATCCTTGACTTCAGCTTCCCCCAAGATCATTAGCCCTTAATCTTTGACTTCAGCTTCCCCCAAGATGGGCGGGGGTACATTTATAGCCGCTAATTAATATCAATTCATTAGCTCTCTTCTTGCTTCCCAGTATCTTTGGCTTTCCGTACTCGTCTTTAGGGCTGGTCACCGAATCAGGTGGGTCTCCTCCATTTCCTCCTGTAGGTTACATAGAGGGCATGTGGGTTGAGTGCATACTCCCAATCTGTGAAGATGTTTTGCCAAGCAATCGTGTCCGGTACGTAGTCTGAACTCAGCAACGGCTTCGATTCTTGGTAAGTCGGGTATGTCGGAGATTGCCACTGTCTACCGTTTCTCCTTTGTTCGAGCTTTGAGTTCGTTGCACCTTGAGGTCGGGAATTCTCTCCTGATTAAGGCCTTCATTGTGTGGAAAGACATCGGGCGGTCCATGCGTTGTCCCCTTCTTAGCAAGTGTGTCAGCAATCTCATTGCCTTCAATGCCACAGTGACCAGGAATACATTGTAGGACCACTGTTTTGTTTTTCTCTCAGCAGCTCATAGAGTTTTCTACATTCCTTTATCTCAGCTCTTTTGGGTGGCTCTCTGTTTCCAATAGAGTCTATTGCTGACTGTAAGTACGAAAGTATCACCGCTTTGGTGAATTTCGTATCCAGGCAACATAATTGGCATAGTGCTATCCTAATGGCCTCTATTTCTCCTTCAAAAGCGGATCTATTATGTCCCGCTGCTGCGAAGAAATAGAAGAGTTCAGAATGGACGCCTGCAACAACGTTTGCTTGGCTNTGCTTCCCAGTATCTTTGGCTTTCCGTACTCGTCTTTAGGGCTGGTCACCGAATCAGGTGGGTCTCCTCCATTTCCNGCTATGTCATTGATGAAGACATTGAAAAGAGTGCAGCTTGTGACAGCTCCCTGTGGAAGGCCTGTTTGCAAAAGATTGGATTTTGGTAGAGCATTTCCATATCTGAATTTACACGATCTTTGTTCAATGAATGCTTTTATCCAATTTAGCAAGTTATGCTTAATACCAGTCTTTGCCAATTTTAGAATTAACTTCTCTTTCCATACTAAGTCATATGCTGCCTTGAAATCGACGAATACAGGCGTAAAGATATTTCTTGCACCAAGGGTGTCTTTGATGTGTTGGAAGAAAGTGGCTACTTGTTTGTTAGTTGATCTTTGCTGCCTAAAACCAGCTTGTTTACCATTAAGAATATTGTTAATCTCAAGGAACCAGGTGAGCCTCCTGTTAACCATTCTTTCCATAAGTTTAGCCAGCACGCTCGTGAGGGAGATAGGCCTATAGTTGTCGAAGTTGCTAGGATCGTTGCCATTTTTTAGTACTGGTATTACTATAACAACTTTCCATTGGTTAGGTACGAGACTGGTCTCTCAGATTTTGTTGTAAAGCGTCAGCATGGTTTCTTTGGCTTTCGGTCCGATTCTAATTAGAAATTCTGGATGAATATCGTCTTCGCCAGGAGACTTCTTGCACTTTAGCTGTTTTATCGCAGCATCACGTTCGCAAGGTCTGAATGGTTCAGCTAGCTATTTTGGTGTCGGTGGTAAGCAATTTGCTGTTTAAGCGTATTGGTTCTTTCTTGGGTCTTTCTCTGTTGTTTTTCAGGTTTCTCAGAAATTTGAAAGTGCATTAGCTATCACTTTGATAGTTTATATTTGAGATGAACTTGTCGAAAGAAGTGCGTTTAGCTTGTAAGATGGCTTGCCTTAGGACAGCTGATTGTCGTCTCCAGGCTCTTACGTCTTCCGTTCTTCCAGTCTGATCAGCAGTGTTGCGAAGGGCGTCCCTCTTTCTTTTCAGCTTCTCAGTGTTTAGACCAAAACACTCGAAATTGTTTAGTTTTGCCTCGGGGAATAGTTTTCTTTGCACATCTGATCATAATATTTGTGATATCATTGCAAAGTTTGTCAGGATGTTGGTTAAAGTTGAGGGGACTTGAATGAAGTTCATCCTCTAAAAGGTTTGTGAATCTAGGCCAGTCAGCCTTCTTGAAGTTCCATGATAGCTTAGTTGGCACTTTCCTTGATATGCTTTTGCTGCCGAAGGTAATACTAGCAATGACTGGTTTGTGACCAGAACCAGGATCGTCAATTATTTTGTGGCGAGTATGCCCACTGATGTCGCTTGAAGCCAAGAGTAAATCAGGGGTTGTTCTGGATCCATTGTAGTGCAAATATGTAGTCGGATACTCATTGCTGTAAATAAGTTCCAGAATGTTGCTGTTTAGCATGTCTTCAATTTCTTTCTCACCTATGTTTGTATCCTTGTAGCCCCATCTGGTGGAGTGGACGTTGAGGTCTCTGATACTATAGTTTTGTGTGAGATGTTCAGAAAGTCAAAGTTGGGACAATTCTGGGGTTTATTATAGACTGCATACATCTTGAAGTGGTTTTGACATTTCCAAACATTTAATCTGATTATTTCACATTTGTCTTGTGTCGAGCCCATACTCTTGATTAGATAGTGGTATGAGGTGAGGCCTTCTTTTACTCCAGTTAGAATTCCACTTGCAACTTGCCGGTATTTAGGTAGATTGTACAGGGTGTAACCTGGGAATTGGTAGTACTTCAGTTTGTCATCCGAAATGTTAGCTTCCATAATTGTGAAAATGTCTACATCATAGGTTTGTAGGATTTTCTGTACTTGGATCTTTTTGTCCGGAGACATTCCTCCAGCATTCCACTGGAGGATCTGAAGACGTCGTGATTCGCTTTGACGAGGGCGATTTTTCTTATAGCCTTTTTTAAAGTTAATCATAATAAATTGAAGTCAAAAACGAATGTCGAGTGATAGACTTTTTTGCCGTAAGAAAATACGTTGTCAAGGGTGCATCACGTGGAGGTAAGTCTATCGCACACCCCGTTCCTAAGATTTTAAGATTTCAATCATAAATATAGTGCTGGGTTGTAGTAGAATTCGGATTGGTTTTGACTAAGTCTCTAAACGTACTTGATAACTCTAGAGGTGCAGGCTGTTTTACAATTCCCCATCTTTTGTCCATTCGCACGCGATAGCGTTGGCCACTTTGCTTCACAATCCTTCACACCTCCTTCTTCCATGGTTTCAATCTGAGACACAAAGATCGATTTCCCCCAGTTCCCACAACATTCATTAAGTTGAAGACCAGTGAATTGGTGAAACGACCGAGCTTTTAGCAAAGTGCCCATTCTCATCCTACAGACAAGTCGTTGTAGCTTTGCGGTGGTGTTCAAGGCAATGGTTCCTTTATCTGTAGATGATGGGTCTTTTTGCTAATGCATCTGGTGAGAAATAGGGTAGATAATTAAATAGTAATTCTGGTTGGAGCTTTCTACCTGCTTCGACCACAGCACAACATACTGTCATGGCTTGTGAAGCATCACATCCAAACTCAATCTATGAAATTTTGATTTCCTAATATCCTAGTGGTTAGATGTCACTACAAATTTCAAATTGATTACATGTCACCTTGAGGGTGAACAGAAATCTCGATAATCTTCTTCATATTGATTGACACGTCCCTGGTGTGTATTATGTGCCGTTAGTGAATGGGGGGGGAGGGTTTGATAAGGGAATGGAGAACATACTTGGCAATATTATCTCTTTCGATTAAGATAGTTCAGAAAGAAAAGTTATTTCGATTAGCCCACTAAATTAATAAAACTGAGACAGTTTGAAATTCTAAGGCACAGTCACCATGTCCAACTTCCAACGTCGCTTATATTGTGGAAATAGGCAAGGCCTAAGGATTCACTACCGCCTTCCATCTACAACTGTACTACATTTCGTTTAGTTTACACCTTTATCCACTTAGAGATGGATTATATGCAGCTTGCTTATAACTCTCTTATATCAATATTATGCCTTTCTCCTTTGTGTGATTATAACCAATACATTTGTGTCAATACGATCTCATAAAAATCATTAATACAACATTATTTATTAAAGTAATGTAGCGAATTTCATGAGAGTTTTTGTTAAAAATTAAAAGAGTTGTCTCATGCCAATTTAGGAGTGAACTAAGTGGGTGCAAGAAACATAAAATTGATTGATTGACATTCAGACCTTGCAAACTTAATACTGCGATAAAACAGCTCAAGTGCAAGAAGTCTCCTGGCGAAGACGGTATTCATCCAGAATGGGACCAAAAGCCAAAGAACCCATGTTGACGCTTTACAACAAAATCTGGGGGACCAGTCTCGTACCTAACCAATGGAAAGTTGCCATAGTAATAACAGTACTAAAAAGGGCAAAGACCCTAGCAACTTTGACAACTATAGGAAAATGGCAAGGACCCTAGCAACTTTGACAACTATAGCCCTATCTAGACCCTAGCAACTTTGACAACAAGAGGCCTATCTCCCCCACAAGTGTGCTGGATAAACTTATGAAAGGAATGGTTAACTGGAGGCTCACCTGTTTCCTTGAGAAGTGAAAAAGCCGGTTTTAGGCCACAAAGATAAACGAACCAACAAGTAGCCACTTTTTCCCAACACATCAAAGATGCCCTTGATGCAAGAAATACCTTACGGCTGTTTCAATCAGCATAAGACTTAGTATGGAAAGAGAAGCCAATTCTAAAATTGGCAAAGATTGGTATTAAGCATAACATGCTAAACTGGATAAAAGCAATCATTGGACATAGAACGTGTAAATTCAGATACGGTAATGCTCTATCAAAATCCAATCTTTTACAAACAGGTCTTCCACAGGGAGATGTCACAAGCTGCATTCTTTCCAATGTCTTCATCAATGACATAGCCGAGTTGGTACAGACAGTCACAGGTGTTAAGTGCTTACTTTATGCAGATGATCTTGTTCTATGGTATTCCGCCTCTAAGAAAAACGCTCAGGAGAGGACAGAAAGTGCCCTAAATTGTGCACTTAAACTACTAGCAAACTGGTGCGAAAACAATGGAACGCTAATTAACACCGCAAAAACTGCATTCCAAATATTTACTTTGGCTCATTACAGCACAAACCCTCTTTTAATGTACAAGGATACTACCCTAGAAAAAACCAATGCGTTCACTTATCTCGGAATGACTTTTGACACAAAGCAAACGTGGAAAAGCCACGTTGCTAAAATAGCAGAACGCGTCTCCAATAGACTGAATGTGCTGAAGCGTCTTGCTTGTAGCGTATGGGGCTGTGCGTGCTCAACTCTAAACACCACTTACAAGATGTTTATTCAGCCAATAATGTTGTATTGCTGTGAGCCACTCATTACAGCCACAGAGGTGACTCTCAAACGCCTCGAGAAGGCACATAACCAGCCATTACGACTAATTACTGGAGGGATAAAATCAACACCCATTGATGCAATGCTCCTAGTTACAGGAAGCAAGAAAATATGCTCCCATATCAAAGAAAAGTCCTTGATCCTGTATAAGAAGCTACTGCTCATTCCCATGGACAAGTACTTCAGCACCTATGAGAATAGACCTAGACATCTAAAAACGCAATCTTGTCTTATACAGAAAGCCAGAGAACTGAAGAAAGAATTACAAATTGATGACAAAATAAAAAGCCTCCCTCGCCTCATGAACCCATTAGCAGACACTGATGTNACTGCATTCCAAATATTTACTTTGGCTCATTACAGCACAAACCCTCTTTTAATGTACAAGGATACTACCCTAGAAAAAACCAA